CTTTGTTTTTCAGGTCAGTCTATTGGAATATAGAAAAAGATTAAAAACTAAATCTACTAAAGATACAAGCCAACCTCAATCTTCTGTACCGAAAGCTATTAATTCTATATCATCTAGATTAGCTGGTGGAAATTATACTTCTCATACCATTCGTTCTAGAACTCTCCCTTCATTACCTTCACTACCACTCTTTACTGATAGAAATAAAAAGAAAAAAGGTAAGAACATTTTCATGATATAGCTATCTGCTGTATGTAGGTGGACAATTGAGATGAATTGAAATATTGCTGTATCACATGTTATTTATGCTTTGATCACCATATTTGAGAAAGATAGTTCTAGGGAATTCTATTAAATTTCAGAAGTAAAAGAGAAAAAAAGTTGGCATGATTTAAGTTTAACAGAGAGATTACGACAGGAATTTGGTGTTGAAGCCAGTGAGGATGGCAATAATTCAGGTACTATACAGTTGCACACTTAAATTAGTAGGTTCATGTCTTGAATACCCTTGCTCAAATTGATTGTCCATAGTTTTTGATGGAATTTTAAACCCTAAAACATGTTTTTTGCAATGTCTGTGCTATTATCTTGGATACAAATTATGCCGTGGAGTGAAGATTATTTAAAGCAGTACTAGAGGTTGTAAACTGTCATCTGAAGTGACTTCTGGCAGTTGTTAATGATTATACTTTCTTTTATTTTTAGATGATTCACGGGAGGGATCTTTAACCCCTCCACCCCCTCCCCCACCCCCCTGTCAGACTAGTCCGTCACCCAGACTACTGAAATATTTGGGTGAGTGAGCTAATGCTATGCACAGCTCGATGTTAAATATCGTTGTCTGTAATGCATGTCTCGTATAGATTGCCTTGTATATCTTGTACCTAGTGATATTTGAAATTTTAAAATGTTTGAAAATACTTTATACTTGAAACAATGAAATGTGGTCAATTCTCAGTGTTCCTTAAATTGTTTGTATTGAGTTTTTTATACGCCCACACGTAAGATGGGCGTATGTTGTAATCACCCCGTCGGTCCGTTCACATTTGGCTCGTGCTCACTCTACAGGCTACAGTTCTTTACGGATTCTTTTGATTTTTATTTTGTGTGTCAATGTCATTATGAAGATGATCCCTATTGATTTTCGTGATGATCGGATAATTTTTCACCGAAATATCGTGTCGGACTTGACGTTTTTCTTTATTAGCTATATTGTGCAACTCGTGCTCACTCTACAGGCTACAATTCTTTACAGATTCTTTTGATTTTTATTTTGTATGTCTATGTCGTTATGAAGATGATCCCTATTGATTTTCATGATCTATCGATTTTCATGATGATCGGATAATTTTTCACCGAAATATCGTGTCTGACCTGACGTTTTACTCTATTAGCTATATTGTGCAACTCGTGCTCACTCTACAGGCTACAATTCTTTACAGATTCTTTTGATTTTTATTTTGTGTGTCAATGTCATTATGAAGATGATCCCTATCGATTTTCGCGATCATCGGATAATATTTCACCGAAATATGGTGTCTGACTTGACGTTTCACTCTATTAGCTATATTGTGCAACCCTGTAGTCACTAAAGACTGTTTAATCATTTCTGACAGCTGCCAGTGGGCGTATGTTACCTTGCCTGGCAAGCTATCTTCTAAACTTTTTATTTGTATCGAAGATACCATTCCAATTTACTCAAACTTCTTTGGTTCCTGCGCTTCCACTAAAACTAGGTGTTTGATAAGGACACTTTTTTTTTACTAATTCTTATCAGTCAATTTTAAGTATATTGCTGGGTACAAGATTTGCCTGTTACTATTTTTTTTATTTTAAGTATCTTTTATTTATTTTGTTACTTTTAATCTAAAATTCAATCAAGCGTCATCAACCCCTAAGTTTCTCTAAAGTTAAATCTATATAATCATTAATTAATTAGTATATCTTGAAAAGGGTGTAATAAGATTGTAATCCCTAACTAGTAATAATACCTATTAACCTACCATAAAATGATCTTTCAATAGAAATATTATACACATCATAAACATTGTTCAGACAAATATCAAAATCATGGTATACTAGGGTATTTATATCTGGATAATTTCAAGAAGCCTGTATTTTCCTTTTGTAAAATGTGATATTGTATTTGAATATATGCAACATATCAATTATATATTGTTTCTTGATTTTATAAATGTAATTTATGCTTTCTTTCTATTGTATTGTGATATTGATGCATGTTTTATATTTCTTTCATTGTTCATAAAAAAAGAATTGTTTACATACACTGTAATTATGTATTCTTTCTGTATCACAATTGGTGGCATTTTAATTAGTTGTGAATTTTTAATTTACATATTTTGAATATATTATATGCACTTTTAGAGAAGCGTATCAATTTTGTATTTGTTTTGTATATTTCAGAGGGTGATGATAAAACAGTTATACCAAGTGGTATTCCTCCACCTCCAACAGCACCTCACCCTGGTCGTGGACCAGCCACCCCACCTCCCCCTCCCCCACCACCTAAATCAACTGCTAACCGTATCCCATCATTAATGTCACTACCATTTACCACACTACCCACAACTCCTCTAGGTGTTGGTGCTACTGCCAGTCAACTGTTACCCCTCCAGACTCAAGCCATGGGAACGAACCCTGCTTCTCAATCTACTGCTGTTTTAGTTAATTATCCTGGTAAGTAAACTATCTGGTAGCATCAATATGCATCATTCAAATTTTCTCTCAAATGTCTGTGGTTCCTGCAATTAAATTTTTCTGGGATCCACCTAACTATTCTCAGAAAAACCAAAATTCATTCATGTCTTGGATTTTTCCCACAAACCTGACATTTTGGAGTTATTCTATCTGACTCTATCGGATAATTGATATCTATGTTATATAACAAGTGCTGTCTCTCTCTATATGAAAATTATGAATTATCTTCCAGCGCAAAATGGAACTAATGCAACTTGTCAGGGGACATCACCACAGACTTTATCATACCATCATCAAGTTGCTGTTAATCCTCATCAACCAGCAGTTAATACTACTACAGTGTTTCCAGTTACACAGGGTACCAGTCCACAGAGTTACTCAACATCATCTAGTAATAATCGTTATAATAATCGTTATCGACGCAATTCCTCACCCTCAACCACTTCTCATCATAAAGGTCGTGAAGTCCCCTTCTCTCATTCATATAACCATACCTCAGATACAATATCACGTTCTGAATGGTCTAATGGGCGCAGAAATACTTATTCTAAATATCATTAATATTACTTCATATTTTAGTATCTTTAAAACAAAGGTTTGGGTCAGTATTCTAAATTATTTGTTACAATTTGAAAGAAGAACAGTACTAAACCTTTTAAACCAGGGTTCTTTCTAGCATTCATAATGTAATATAGTTTTCATTCATTCATTCACTTTCATTTTATTCATTCATCATTATTTAAGAATTAGAGTAAAGGCATATATCAAGGACAAAAATTCATAGCATTAAATGATGAGTTTTAGTGAACTTATTTGAATTTTGAATATATAAAGACATCTACGCAAATATTAGATTTTGTTGAAAGGTGACTCAAATTACAAAATATAATGCCATAATCATGTCCTACTGATAATGTCTTTTACAAACTTGATAATTTGTTAGTAATTTCTTTGTTCTTGTTGATTATAGACGATTATTTTGTTAAAAAAATGTAAGATACCATATTTTTAAAACTTAGATGAGTTTGTGTTGTTAGTTAGTGATTTTAAAGTTGAGAATTAAAATTCTTAAAAACCTCATTAATATTTTGAGCCATTTGCTAGATGAAATTTTATGAAGGTGCTTAAGAAATTTTACTCATATATTTAGTGTAGTCTTAAAGTAAAGCATAATTTCTGTATTTGGATTGCTGAATTAAATTTATTGCCTTTGTTTTCTTATCTATATTGTTAACTGAATTTGATCTGTTTGTAGCATTTATGTTTTTTTCTGGTAACCAGAAATAACTGTTTCTTGTACTGCCAAATCCAATAAAGGTGCTTACATGCCTGTTAATTTGGCAGTTTTTTTGCAAAATTCCCTTCTCTTAGTGTTTCGCACTAGATATATTCTACCAGAAAATTTAAATTCTTACAATTTCATAAACTTAAATGTACCTCCAGCTTGGAATCAATCAATCCATGTTTTTTTTTTAATTGACAAATTATAACAGGTTTGTTTTCTCATTGTCATTAGTACACTTTCTTTCATTTGTATTATACTCATTCATTCATTCTTTCATTCTTTCTATCACTTCATTCATCCTTTCATTCTTCTTTAGCTCTCATTTATTTACATGTTCATTTCTGTAAATTTTGTGAATTAAAATCATAATTATTGTAGAGTGTATAAAGTGTATATTTGACAGTATAAGTTAGGTGTAAATATGTATTATATGTAATAACATCGTTCAGATTTTAGATAAAATGACTGTGTTCTCTAGATATAGATTTATATGTCATATTTTGAACTTAGAAAGCAGATTTCATAACCATTTAATTTTTTCTTTGTTTAAACTGATAATAGAAAAAAAAACTTCATAATTGTAAGTTGTCTCTTGAATTTTGGCTTATCAAAGCAAACAGAATTTTACATTAAAATCAATTGACTTCACGTTTTTATGAAATATTATTAAGTCTAGGAAATCCCTAAAATTATCTTGATTAGTGCTATCTTTGCATTTCAGGTCTACCTCTTTTGTAACCTTATTGCTTACTCTCCCTTAATCTTCCCATCCTTTTGATATTTTTGAAAGTTTTTAGTGGAACATTGAATAGTGCTTACTTTGTTATTGGAATTGAAATCGACCATTATATTATACAAATTGCAAGAAAATATGTGAAAATATGTTAAACAGTCTTGAGTCATGCTTAATCTACTAGAATTCATTATATAAGTCTTAATTTATACCTGTATATTTAACAATATTTCTTATTGGTGACTTTCAGAATAGTTTACCAACATGTGTCCAATGATTAGTTTATTTGAAGTAAGTACTTAATTATTGAATATTGTTAATTAGTGGTTTTAAAATCTGCTGTAAATACTAATCACTGTATTCATAGAGAATTTCATTCTATTATTATTGTATCCAGTTTTTGTTCTTGTACTGGCAGATTAAAGATTCGTAAATTTCTCTTGAAAATATTGTTATCTTTTCCTCAATGCTTCAAACCAAGTTACTCTGTAAGAAGCAAGTTTTTGAAAATTTGATAAAAAAAACTGAGCCTGTAATGTCGACCAAAGTAATCTCAAACAAGACTCCATTCAACAAATAATATTACTATTCAGCAAGTTTAGTCTGCAAGTAAATTACTTACTTAGAGTCCATGCCAATATATTTATAAATAAATAAATTTCGGATTGGAGTCGCCCTTTTAGATATGAAACAGCTTCCTTTTTTTAAACTTCCTACTACAGGCGTTACTACATCAGCACGGAAAAACGGATCGAATGGACCGAAACATCTGTCTTTATTCCAGCCTCTGATAGATATTTTGACAGTTATCGGCTGAGTCAGAAAAAAGGACATGTAAATACCTTCGAACACCCCTGCACCAGCTAACAAGTTTTAAAACAGCTATGATAGTCATAGTCATAGTGACAGATGTTTCGGTAGAAGGATCAAGGTACCTTGGCTTCTTACGATACGCACACAGCATGTATACGTCCGTTCAACGTAAAAAGAGATTATAGTTTCATCGAGATTTTAATGAACATCCAAAAACAGCAAGCATTGTGCACAGTTATATGAATTTCTACTTTTGAAGTATTGTGTACCTTTAACAATGTAGACTATCATTGCATTGTGTTTGATGCCATTGTAAGATTGGACTATAGATAGAGTATACGTTTTATTATTGTCTAGTTCACCTTGTCATTCCAGTTTACCTTACATGTTTACACGTTACCAAGGCGATATTAATTAATCATACATTTAATGATCTGATCGAATTACAAGGTGGAACCTAAAATCATACCTGAATACAGATAAAATGAAATTCGATTGTTTAAACATGTAACAGCTGTACTCTACCTGCGACTTGATCTAAATAAAACATTTGGAATACGAGTGGAATTGGCGAAAATAAATGAAAATGGCGATGGGATTATATTGGATTCAATCGGTATTCATTTTGTTGTTGTCGTTGACACAAGGTACGATTTTGATATTGTTATATTTTGTCTGTCGTTTCAGTGAATTTATATAGACAAATAAACGAAACAAATACATAGACCTACATAATATGCCGCATATTGTTATAACATTTTGATTCAAAATACTCATGAGACTAAGACAGGAAAAACTGGTGTAGAATATCATGACATAATCCTGTTAATCCTTTGATTTTGTATTACCTTGATACTTATATTTGAATAATGTAAGTGAACATAAATGGGGTTACGGGTGTATTTGAAAATTAAAACTATCAGAATTTCTCAAGGCCAGTAATGTTATTCTCATGTGATGTTAAAAGTATTGCCTTGAAATGAAGATAATCGTTAGAGCCGAAGGGTTGTTGCCATTATATAAACAATCACTTTATACAATGAACCCAATCTATTCCTAAAATCTGCATTTGGGATCCATGGGTGACTTCATGAGACCAATTTCCGCTGATATCTGTTTGATGGTTCGCACCGTTGGAAAACATTATGTTTTAAAAACTTGTCTTTTACACTCCTGACAGCAAAGAAGCAAGAAACAATTGATCTTCCATTAATGTAGTTTTTACATCTTTTGTTTGCAAACCGGTTTTATTATTGATTAGCTCAGATAATTTGAAATAAATGTTGAAATATACATAAGGTCTGTGTATTTTGAACTAAGGGTAATGAATAGTTATGGCCAAAAGCAAATACATGTAAGGGATGATCAAAAAATCGAAACTTTTAAAATTGGTCAAAATGAGTCTTTGTTCATTAGTAGACTTACCTGGTGTCAAAACTATATACAACAGAATCTCTCTATAGTACAATAAGTCAATAAAACTAAGTAATAATCCATTAAACGAAGTAATTTTAAAACGCGCTTAGAAGCAGGTTTCCATAATTATTTAGTTTAATGGATAGGCTATATATCGTCTTAGGCCTATATAGAGATTCTATTTTTTAGTGATGGCACCTGGTTCAACTAATGCATAATATAATCTTTTTGACCATGTTTGAGACTTAGAATTTTATATCCATTCTGAGAGGTAGTATTCCTTTTATGGTCTATGTAATACCCTTTTCAGAAATATTGGGAGCAAGATGTAATACTGGGTACACTTATTACAGTAGATACTCATATTGTCTATATGGATGCTGCACGTCATATACCACGAAATATAAATGCTGCACGTCAAGTTATTCGTCATATGGATTATACACCTACAAAACATACACTTATAGCTACTCTTATATATCGTAAGTTCCTTCGTCTTCTGTTGGTGTCATGTGACATAATAATTGAAAATTGTATAGGTGTTGTCCATTTTTCCTCAGGAGCAGTCTACTTTAATTACTTCTTGTCGCTTTTAAATCTGTATTGTCTTTAACTATTAGCATCGTTGAAAGTATAATTAAATCATCTTCTTTTAAGCCATTAAAAATTGCTAAGAACTTGATCCAGTCAAATTTTGTTCTGTTTCAGGACTGGAGCTATTGCTGGTATAGCCGTTTCTGCTTTAATTGGTGTGGGAATATTAATTGCTTTAATCATTTGTTGTACCTGTTCAAAAAAGCGTCATGGACAAATTATTCGAACTGGAGGAAATACTGGACCGAATGTAACAGTTGTTAGCAGCAGTATGAGTAAGTAATTTCGTGAGGGTTAATTTTTTGGTATAATACAATGCTAATAATAGCTAAAGCCACTAGTCCAGTAATTTATTACTGTATTGTCTGATTGAACGCTTTTATTGACAACATTTTGATATTTTATTTTTCATTAGATTGCATTCATTTATTCCAGTGCAACAAGGTGGAATGCAACCAGCCTACAACTATAATAACTACAACAATCAGATGAGAGGTCCTGGATTTTACCCTCAACCACAACCAGGACAACCAATACAACAACCAATACAACCACACAATACCACACAACCACCGTCCTATTCTCAAATAGGTCAATATCCTACCAGCAATCAGTCGTATGATCCTCCCCCAAACCAAGGAGCCTCGGCCCCACCCCCATACCAATACACCAATCCTGCGGGTCCACAATATCCTGCTTCAAATCCATCAAATCTCATCAACGTTTCTCCTTATCAAAATTAACACGCCGTCTTTTTAAAATTTAGTTGTTTCGTTTTAATTGAATGCGATATTTCATATCTGTTTACCAACAAACTGCTTTAAGTCAATGCCTAAAGTGCAAACGTAGGCTACTACCGTGAAAGTTCCAAGTTTGTCACATTATTGCCGAATAATGTATTGTCTCAGTGACGTTCCTAGGAAACATTAGTTAAGGGGGGCGAGCAGGGGCCATAGTTTCACTGTGTAAATTGTAAAAAAATTGAAAAGTGGGGGGTGGGGGGCAAAGTCGGGTCTGGGACTTTTCTAAGGGGGCTATCAATTGTCCCCAAAAGGGTAATAGAAAGCTGATTTGCTGAGGAAATTATTCTTTAAATTGTGTTTTAATTTAAGTTTGGGTATGATAATAATCTATTCAGATCAAGAATGTAAAACGAAACGCCTGAGTAGAAGAGAATCCACAATTGATTTATAAAACTTACTGACGTGATATATCTGTGATATTCTTTGTGTTAAAATAAACATTTTCTTAATTAAGTTTTTTTTTTTTTTAATTTTTAACCCAACCTTGGACTCTCAAGGATACAGTTCTCTAAATATTTGCTTCACTAGATTACAAAGAGATCAATTTCAGTTCGGGTATTTTTTCAGAATAAAATCCGCAGCCCTTTCCTTGCAATTCAACCAAAAATACAAGTATATCTGTGGAAACAGAATTTCTTGAGAATCGGAGAAAGATTGTTATTCTTAACATTCTGGATGGCTGAAATTTGTGAAACAAAAGAAACTTATAGATTAACAGTTACTCTCAGCTGCATTTGATTTCGTGATAAACGAACATAGATTTCTAATTCGTTCTTAATCTCACTGAATTGTCTTTTTTGATATTGTACACAATCTGAAGTTTGTTTTCATTTGATATGGATTGCTAAGAGATTCACACAGTTATTAAAATGTTAACAGCCTATTACAGTCAGATCTAAAATTAGACTTAGATATATTGTGGCCTATTTTAATTTACCTGGTTTTTAGCTGTCTTCTGTTTAACTAGGTTAATTTTAAATTTAAGTTAGATCATTGCGTTCAATTTTTACTGTTGATTAAAGTAATACAGAAGACCATTATTTGGATGTTATGTTTACATGAATATATTATTATTCAGCATGAAGCTACCTCAATTACTTCTTGTTGGTCTAAAAGCTAATGCTATATATTATGACGATCCGGTAATCTTTTTCAGGGATCATTATGACAACAATCTGGTTGGTTAGTAGATGACAAGTTAACGTTCGATTCTAGCGGATGCTGATATCACAAACTAGATATATTTGGTGATAGTCGTATAGTAGTTTGTAGTTGGATTGGTTCAAATTGGATGCTTCTGTGCTGTTGATTTAGTTGTTGATAATTGATAGTCGTTGGTTTAATTTGGCTTGGTTCGATTATCTGATAACTGTTGGAAAACGTGAAAATAAAACAAGAGAAAAGAGAGAAAGAGAAAAAAGGGGGAAATAACTTTCAACAAAATTGGTAGACGAGTTGATCTGTGGGTGGCAATGACGTATGAGGTAGCCCTGACTCGTGGGTGGAGTCGAAACTTTTGTATGGTGGGTGGCCTCGCGAACGGGTTTCGGTTAAGGGCATAGAATAGGGAGATGTGGCCTACTAGTTGCAACATCCATATATAATGGTGCTGAACTGATGGTCTCGTTGTTGGTATGGAGTCTGGTTACCATTCTCCAGACGGCTGCAAATGAGTGGTTTCGTTTGGTATCTTTGGATCATTGCGGCATCTGACAGTGTTGTCATGATTTAGGTTGGTTGGTTGGTAGATGACAAGTTAACGTTCGCTTCCAGCGGATGCTGATATCGCAAACTAAGTAGTTGTTGGTAGTCGTAGTAGTTGGTAGTTGGATTGGATCAAATTGGATGATTCGGTGTTGTTGGTTTGGTTGTTGATTCTTCGTTAGATCTGGTCGGGTCGAATGACATGGCGGTGAAACTCGGCCCTGGATGGTGTGGCGTGAGTTACTCGGTCTCCTTCATTCTTCCAAACTCGTTCTGATCATGGTATTTCTTGTTGATTGGTAGTCGAATGGTAGTCATTGGTTTGGTTTGGTTTGGTTAGATTATCTGTTATCTGTTG